CCCCCAAAGCATTTTAATTGCAAAGGGCTCTCAAAGAATGCTGTTGAGTTGCGCTTCAGAAATGAGTACCCTGTAATCTTGTGCCTGGATGTTTGTGGTGACTTGAAAGAAAGACAAAAAGCTGTCCACAGGGTTGCACAAATGTAGGCGGAATTCCCAGAGGTCTGTACTATTCAAGGGAATGCAACAGAGGACAAGAGTAAGATTGTTAAGATTATCCAAAGTAAATAGCAAATACTAATGAATTATTTATTTTACAGTGCTGGAGAAGCACTTTGAGCCACCTTCATTTCTTTCTGTTTTTATTACAAGAAGCCAGACTTTGTAGTACTTTACTTTTAAATGGTAATGAGCAGTAGACTTCATGAAGATCTTTCAAAGTTTTTCTTTGAACATTGGTTGCTTTTTCACTCATTCTCAGAGGAATGATGCGGCCACATGTCCTGGACACTCGGGTAAAGAGAGGGGCTGAGCTGTCAACTGATCACCACCTGGTGGTGAGTTGGATCAGGTGGCGGGGGAGAACGCTGGACAGACCCAGCGGCTGAGGGCTTTCACTTAAGTGGCCTCAGAATCTCATCTCTGCTTTTCGCGGGTGATGTGGTTCTGTTGGCTTCATCGGGTGATGGCCTCCAGCTCGCACTGGAATGGGTCGCAGCTGAGTGTGAAGCGGTGGGAATAAGAATCAGCACCTCCAAATCTGAGGCCAGCTGAGGCAGAGGTTCTCAGAGGTTCTCAAAAAGTGATTATACAGTTTCATTTTCTTTTCCTTTATTTTGTTCCAGCAAACTTTTACTTCACTAAATTTCTTCTCTGCATTTGCTTGCAAAGAACTGAAAAAATAGTGAATAAATAAATAAAACAAATTCCATTTGACAAATGAGAGAGCTATATGACAAACCCAGACCCGGCAACTCGCCAGATTTAAAAGCGACAATCGTTCATGTTTGACTTGGTTTTATGCTGGTGTGGCGTTTCAAGATCTCATTACAAACCCGCTGAGTCATCTCATCAACCTTTAGAGACGTAAGAGATGTGGCTTGTCAAGTAAGGTGTGAGTCAGTAACATTTAAGAAAATATTTAGAAAATAGAGGGTGACTTCCTAATTTTACATCTTACATTCTTTAATTTGTGTCCTAAGGAACAGGGGGAAAAAAATCCAGCAAAAACCTGACACAGGACCTGAGAGATACATGTGCCGTGATGCATGTGATGATTTCAAAAGGTCATTTGTACATCTTTTTTGAAAAAAATCAAATCAATATAATCACAACTGATGCAGGATTTGAAAAGACTGACATGATACGTGTGGAGAAAAGTTAGCAACACAATGCAAAAAAGCATCTGTTAGTTGATCAGGCAAGACTGATCAACTAACTGATCTGAATAAACTGCTGGTGTGCTGAGAATTAACAAGGGTTAATAAAACAACAAAACAAGAAACCAAATATGCATAAACTAAGATGAATGGTTTTGTTGTAAGAAAATTTTTTACCTTTGTTAAATGGCAGATTACTTTATGCGGGGGATCATGTCTAGTAGTTCTTAAAACCTTTTTATTTGCTAAGCAGTCCCTTTGTGCGTCACTATCAAAGGAGTTATGTAAACAAAATTGGGCGTAGTTGCTTCTTATGAAAAGGTTTCATAACAGAATTCCAATGAAGCCAAGTGACAGTACGACAGTTTTTAATCTGTAATTAAAGAACTGGCAATTGACGTGTTCAATGTAAGCTGATAACTTCAAATAATTCACAGTGAACTGTTTGAGTTACAAACATGTGTTTTTAATTTTCACTTATCACACTTTAATTTACATGTCTGCATTTTCTAAATTATTCTCATGCAATTTTGGTATATTTCCTTTGTTCAAATAATAAATTCAGCTTAACCTGGAAGATCCTCTTAGTCAAAGCATGGCAGCTAGTTAAGCCATATGAAAAAAGAAGCAAAATATAAACCTGAATGGTAGGCAGTATATTTAAATTTATCTTCTTATTAATTATAGCTTTTGGTGTTATCTTCTTGAACTCCTTTTTATATTCTTATGAGTCATTGCCTTAAAACTGCATTTGCATTAAATATTCAACATGCTAATACACCAGCAACTGCTTGAGCTGTTGATACAAGGCAGGACGGATCCACACTTTCATATTGTTTATACCAGATTCTGACTATGTGTAGCAATTTCAGATTCTGGTGTCCCTGGGAAAGACACTAAATCCCACCTTAGTCCCGATAGTAGGCAAGCACCTGCACGGCATTTCTGCTGTCACTAGCGTGAGAGGTTGAATGTGTCAGTGAGAAAACCAAGTAAAACCAAGCTAAGATTTATAAGGTGCTATGTAAGTGCAGAATAAAGTTATTTGACAATGCATCAAATCAAAAGGGGTTGGAAAGTGGTTGAGAATAAAAATAAAACAATAAAAAATAAAGCGCCTTTGGTCTAACTTGACGTCAGGATAGACACTTTGGTGGTGATCTGAGAAAAAAAATGTCATGCTCTGAAAGCAACTCTTCCCCTCATTCCTTGAGACAGTGTGTTCATAGATATAAGCTTGAGTACAGTGCGCTCAAATCCCTGTTGATATTGCTATTGTTCTTTACACTGATTCTTCTCTTTCTATTTTGGAAGGTGTGTTGCGCCATGGGTTTGTCTGAACACTCAGTAGTACAGTGTAAGCGGGTGTGTTCTTTTGTGTAGGTTGTGTATCGCATTCAAGGATTTTATGTAAAATCTAAACATAGCCATTCTAA